TGCCTAGATGGCTTCAAAACCAATGAGTGTCAAATGGTCCGATCAACATGGGAGGTAGAAAACCATGTTCATCGGTAACGAAACATCTAATTGAAACAGAGCACGAAATTAACATTAATACAGCATTTAGAACGTTGTATAGAAATTGTCAAGGTCGAATTCTTAAGTTTATTGAAGCCTTAGCCCTTATATTATATTATTATTATTATATTATTATTAGCTTTATTCAATATTATAATTTTGGTACAATATAGAATTCTCAGCTCAAAGTATTTCAACAAGTTTCCGTTTCTTTCTTCTTGGTCGGTCCTGGCGATAAATATTGAGAAAACGCCAGTTAGATGTTAGCACTTCAGTGAATGAACAACTGAATAATGTGCATTCTTTTCGTTGTACATTGCCAGCAACCATATTGTCTCTTATTGAGTTTTCTGTAACTTTGACAACGAAAGGTTGTACACTTTTCAGAAACGCAGCAGAATAGGTTATGCGATTAATAAACATAATGATATATTAAAACAAACAACGATAGATAACTTGTTGAAATATCTAGATGGCAGGAACAGGTAGCCCAGATGCTCAAGCAGGCCGCCCTAATGTGTACAAAGACAATTTGTCGTAACCTTGAATTTACCTTGGTAATCCTTAAGTCATTCTATGGCCTCGGATAATGCGACAATTTCTTATTCTTTCTCTCCCCCTTTGTTATTTTACTTGAACTTTCATTTAATTGACATTTATTAATTTTCATATAAAAATGCCCTGACAAGTATATGTGTGACCAGATTGTTCGAAATGTATAGTGAGTTCATGTTACTTTGCCAAAATCACTTTACTTGTTCTCATCAAGTCAATAAAAAGGAAATACGTGTATAAGATATTAAGTATGTAGTTGTATGTACAATTTTATATGAGTAGTGATTTAATAGATGTTCTGAGATATAATGTCGAGTCCTATGATATTTAATGCTTACCTTACTTACGCCTGTTAATCCTCATAGAGGAGCATAGGTCGCTTACCAACATTCTTCATCCAACCTTATCGTGGGCAATTATTTCAAGTTGTTACCAGTTGCTATTCATTCTTTTGATCTTTGTTTCCAACTCTCGACACAGTGTTTTCCACGGTTTTTCTCTTTTCCATTCCCCTCCACGATTCCAAGTTAGTGCCTGCCTCGTAATGCAGTTTGATGATTTCCGTAATGTACGTACTATTCACTTCCAAGGTCTTTTCCTAATTTCCTATTCAACTGGAAGTTGATTTGTTTTCTCTCACTGTAGGCCGTTGCTGATGGTACCTGTCCAACGGACATTCAATATATTGTGTAGACAATTGTTTAGAAATATTTGTACCTTCTTGATGATGATTGTAGTGGTTCTTCATGTTTCAGCTCCGTACAGTGAAGATAACTGTTTTGACATTCTTATTGAAAATTATGACTTTGATATTGGTTGACAGTTGTCTTGAGTTCAGCATATTCCTCAACTGTTGAAATTCTGTCCTTACTTTGACAATCCTCGTCTTCACGTCCGCATCAAATCCTCCTTGTTCATTGATGAAGCTATTCAGTTATGTGAATATTTTCACCTCTTCTAGAGTTTCTTTACCAAGGGTGATTGGATTGGTGTTCTAGTGTTGCATTTGAGGATCTTGCTTTTTCTCTTGTTTATGTTGAGGCCTACTGATGTAAAGATTTCTGCTACACTAATTGTCTTCATCTGCATTTGTTGATATGTTTAGGATATAAGGACCAGTTCATCTGTGTAGTCCGTATCTTCTAATTTATTTCCAACCGTCTATTGTATTCCGTATTTTCTCTCAGTTGTCAAGTTCTTTATAATCCAGTCGACCATCAGAAGAAAAAGGAAAGGAGAGAGAGTAAACTGCTTTATCGGACTCCGTTCCTCACTTGGAATGCGTCTGTCAGCTATATGTTTTTCAATTTTTTTTTCGTTTTATTTTGTTCACAATCCTTTCGATTTCACGCTCCAGCTACCTTAATAATTCATGAATAAATCAATATTTAAACTTTAGTAGCTTTTGTCCAATCTCTTATGAAATAAACCTTGTTAATGTACTGTTCTCGATGGTGACTAGACTATATGGCAAGGATTCTTTTATTAAGGAGTTGGAAAGTGTTCAAAGGTAAGTTACTCAGTAATAGCTATCCCATAAAGTTAATGAACAAAAACTTTATGTCGATAAATGAGATTTCTTAACAACTTTTAGCCTTCAAAAAGAAAGTATTTGTCAAACTTCCATGATTCAAGAGCTCAAAATAGGCGTCTATTTAGGGTTAGGATTGAGTTTTATTTTCTTTCTATCGCTTTGATAATTGTGTATGGAGTAAAAGGCTGACTTGGGTAAAAAAAATCTCTTCTCGCTACCTTCAATCAATTATATTTTGTTACCTATATGGTTCGTAACACGTACATTGGAAGAACAGAGAGGATATTATCTAACTCAATCTCACAATGAAAGCAATTCAGTAAAAAAATTTCATTTTGACTACCCCATTTACTTAATCTATACAATCACATTTATAGCTTATAAAGTTTGAGGAAGATAATGAAACAGAAAATCTGTAAAACAGACTTTCTAGATCTTTGAGCGAAAAATTCCATTCAGCTGAAATCTTTTCTAGTTCGCATATGATTTGTAGTTTTGTGAAGGATAAGCTCCCATTTTGGGTCAAATGAATATGTATCTATCAGTCCACTTACTCATGTGAAACGCGTAATACTTGCCTACAAAGCTAGCTCTTTTGTAACCCAACTCCGAATATTACCCTGGCTGGTTTCTAATGAATTATAGATGTCAGTCAAGAATTAAATCTTGGAGCATTTAGTTAGTTCTGGTCATTTCGCTTCACTGAATGTCCCTTTAAAATCACACATACAATCAGAAGAGACAGTTCAAAAGGAATTCAAGTGAGAAACTTAGTTACAGCAGAGGATATTGTTACCCACAAGTTTAAGCCTAAATTTCGTATACAAAAACTGTGTTCAGTCCCTTATTCTAATCTATGATCTCAACGTTCCTTCCTATATTCCATAATCTATGGTCTTTGTGAAAAAATATTATAGTTATACTATTTCTTATTTGTTTTCGTAACTATTAGTTAGCTATTTTTCTTATTGAGATCATGAACCGATTGATGTTATACCATCCTTGAAAACCTGGAAACACTGGGCGGACGTCTCGTCCTATTGTGGGGCTCCTCCTTGGCAGTGGGCATCCACGATCTCGCTCGCGGGATGCGAACCCAGGGCATTGAGTCTCGCGCGCGAACGCTCAACCTGTACACTAATAAGCTGCATCCAGCGGTGTTAATGTCTTACCTCAACCGAACTACGAAATTGTGCGACCATCTTCCAATGTACTGAGGTAGATACCTGTCTTTACCCGACACGGATTAGCCTGACTTGTCACGCCTTCTCACTAGAACTCCGAGAATCCCCTCACGAATCTAGTCACTAGTGAGCACATGGTATACAGGGTTGTGAAATACAGGGTTGTGGGGATTATTAGTCATTTTTATAACTTTTGATTATTCTCTTCTTAATAGCTAACAAATAGACAACTGTTTTCAGCTCAACACTTTTCAGACGATAATTACATAACTTTGTTTCAATATCTGGTTTTGGTAAACACTTCATTACAAGATACTATTTCAATCATTTTCTCATTCATCATAAGTATCATTCTCTCTACAATTATAAATATTCCACTGTTATTATTCTGGCAACTAATATCCCCTTCGTTAATTCGCCTAGTGTTATCATGTCAATTAGTGCACCTTAGTTCTACTCGATTACATTATGATCAATCTTGCGTTTAATCTGTCGATCTATTCATTAAAGTTGTATTATGGTGTGTACTACTGATGTTGACAGATATAAATAGTATGTATCATCAATTGAAAGTGGCGGCAGAATGTTAAGAAGACTGAATAAAAAGAACGAGAACAAAAAGTGATTAGTATGGAACCAAAAGAACAATGAAATTTGAGACGATTGATTGACATTTGCGAACGGAACAGTCAAGTTTGAGACAACCGATTGACATTTTGAAAATGAAGTATTTATTGTATGGTTCTCAGATTTTATTAAGAGATTTTGCATATTTGGTTGCTCCCACTTATGTCCTCGTTCACTACAGTATGACTATGGAAAGCACTTAGAATTATTATCAGAAGGGGTTTTTGTGGATATTATAGTAATTTTAGTAGTTAAGATCATGAGTTAATTGGAACTAGACCACCATGTAAAACCTGTAAACACTGGACAGCTGTTTCGTCCTATTATAGGGCTCCTTAGCAGTGCGCATCCATAATTCCGCCTCGTGTTATTCGAACCCAGGACATTTTGCTCGTGAACTAAATGACTTGATACAAGTCACACATAAAAATTACAGTTTTATAGAGCAATATGATGTTTGTATAAGATTTAGAGAAAACACAAAAAGATTGAATAACTTCACTTCATCTTACAATGCCATCTGTTCTTGCCTGACAAACATCTTGAATATAATTACAACTGATTAATGACTAATATCACGTATCCCAAATCATTTTTTTTCTAGTTTCCATCAAATTCACATTGAATTCTCATCACAAGTTATGACACTTGATTTCAACCTACTCAAACTAGTGATCAACCTGATCTTCAGAATTCGATCAAACATGATAATGGATAATACTCAATAGTCAATGAATTATAAATTTATCTCAGTCCCATAGGATATCAATCGTAACCTGAATAGCTCAGTGGTAACGTCTTCAACTATTAAGCTGAGCATTAAGCGAATGAATCCTCTTAGGACCACTATAGTTCCTCAAGATAACAGGTATACCTTGATGATGGGTACCAAATAGTAGAGATCTCTATCGACTATTTCGAACTATCACCTTGAATATATATTTCACAACAACAATTGACAAAGCTGTTGTTATCTTGTAAACTGTCAGTTCTTCTCTTTTTCCTGCTTTATTTTCCAGTTCAACAAAATAATAGAACAGACGAAAAATTAATGGGTAAGTGAATATCATTTCATAACTACATATATATGTAAATAGGTTGTATTCATAATGCTTTGATACATTTTATTAACATCTATATGCCCAATCTATTGTCAATTAAGTAAAGTGATTACATTGATAGATAGAATTTAATCACCATTAAGAGTAATAGAGAGATAAACAACTGTTACTAGTTCTAGGGTTAGTTGAGATAAATATAAAACCTGTAATAGACATTAAATCATATAACAATTAACATAAAACATTGTTCTCTATTTGAGAACATCAACTCAATCATATTTGATAAAGAAACTCTGGATTAGGTGGAAACATTCACGTAACTGAATAGCACTGTTGATGAACAAAAAAGATCCGATGAAGATGAAAAGGCAAGAATTGGCAAAGCAAGGGTGACATTTTCACGGCTGAAGAACATATGAAACTCAAAACAACTGGCTTTCAACCAATATCAAAGTTACAATCTTTAATAAGAGTGTCAAGACAATTCTACTGTGTAGAGCTGAAACTTGGAGAACTACCACAATTATCATCAAAAGTGTACAAGTATTTCTAAACAATTGTCTACACAATATATTGAATGTCCGTTGGACAGATACCATCAGCAACGGCCTACAGTGAGAGAAAAAAAATTAACTTCCAGTTGAATAGGAAATTAGTAAAATTCGTTGGAAGTGGATAGAACATACATTACGGAAACCATCAAACTGCGTTACGAGGCAGGTACTAACTTGAAATCTTGAAAGGGAACGGAAAAGCGGACAGTCGGGGAATGCAATCAGATATGAAAAAGAATGAATAGCAACTGGAAAAGATTGTCTAGGACAGAGTTGAATGAAGAATGACTGGTGAGCGACCTATTCTCCTTCATGAGGTGTAACAGAAATGAGTGAGTAAGTAGCTAAGTATTGTCTGCTTACAAGCTTTTTAAATCCGGTACTCGATCATTAATTTTAGAAAATCTTTTAAAGATTCATAAACGTAGCTTGTGTTACATTCGTGATTATCCATTTTATTAATAAATAATACGATCGTCATAACAACTGAGAATATGATTATAATTTGCACTTGAGATCCTATAAATAATGAATCCACAGTGTGAATGATAGATTTATTTGAAGAATGAAATGGAATCGAATTGGATAGACATAGGTTTAGTCAATTTCTGTACTTCAAACATGAATGTTAATTCAATAGTTTGACTAACTTCATTAGGAATACAACCATTTGAGTGAATGAAAATACTGTGGTATGTACTACTGATGTTAATAGATAAAAGTAGTATGTATCATCAATTAAAAGTGCAATACCTGGCGGCATAAGGTTAGAACGATCGAAGAGAATAGAATGAGAACAGAGTGTGATTAGTATGGAAAAGAAGAATCAGTCAAATCTGAGACAATTATTTGACATTTTGCAAACGAAGTATTTATTGTATGGTTCTCAGATTTTACAAAGTGATTCTTTAAATTTGTATTGTAATACATTTGGTTGTCCATAATTATGCTCTCGTTCGCTATAATACCATTAAAGAAAAATAAATCCTAAAAGTTTAAGGTAGTTACTGCTAGACAAGAAAGCGATTAGTTCTGCCTTTGGTTGAGTTTTGTGTTCTCATTGCTGAAGAGCTACAAGTAAAGCATAAAATCTGTCCAGTAATATTGACCTTTAATGATTCTCCATAGTTTATCATCATGGCCGTCAGGCAAATCAAGAGTGGCAAAGCAGCAGGACCAGAAAACATCCCAGAAGAGGCACTGAAAGCAGATAAAGCGGTAACTGCAAGGGTACTCCACATTCTCTACAATAAGATTTGGGATGAGGAACAACTACCAACAGACTGGAAAGAAGGACTTCTGATCAAAATACCAAAGAAGGTAATCTCAGCAACTGTGATAACTACAGAAGCATCACTCTTCTCTCAATACCAGGAAACGTGTTCAACAGGGTATTGTTAAACAGAATGAAGGACTGTGTAGGCGCCCAACTTTGAGACCAACAGGCAGGATTCCGTATGGATAGGTTGTGTACAGACCAAATCGCAACACTACGGATCATTGTGGAACAATCAATTGAATGGAATTCATCACTATACATCAACTTCATTGACTACGAAAAAGCATTTGATAGTGTGAACAGAACAACACTATGGAAGCTTCTTCGACACTACGGCGTGCCTCAGAAGATAGTCAATATCATACAGAATTCCTATGATGGATTACACTGCAAAACCGTGCATGGAGGACAGTTGACAAAGTCGTTCGAAGTGAAGACCGGTGTCTGACAAGGTTGCTTACTCTCACCCTTTCTCTTTCTCCTCGTGACCGATTGGATCATGAAGACGTCAACATCTGAAGAAAAATACGGGATACAGTGGACATCTAGGATGCAGTTGAAAGATCTAGACTTCGTAGATGATCTGGCTGTTCTAGCACACATGCAACAACAAATGCACGAGAAGACGATCAGTGTGGCAACAGCCTCAGCAGCAGTAGGTTCCAACATACACAAATGGAAAAGGAAGATACTCCGATAAAATACAACATGCATCAATCAAACCACACTTGGCGGAGAATCTTTGGAGGATGTAAATACCTTTAAATATGTGGGCAGCATCATTGATGAACACGGTGGATCTGATGAAGATGTGAAGACGTGGGTCAGAAAAGCAAGAGCAGCATATATACAATTGAAGAACATCTGGAACTCAAAACAACTGTCAAACAACACCAAAGTCAGAATTTTCGATACAAATGTCAGGACAGTTTTGCTGTATGGGGCAGAAACCTGGAGAACTACGAAAACCATCGTCCAGAAGATAAAGGTGTTTATTAACAGTTGTCTACACAAAATACTTCGGATCGGTTGACCAGACACTATCAGCAACAACCTATTGTGGGGGAGAACAAACCGGAACCCAGTGCAGGAGGAAATCAGGAAGAAGCGCTGTAAATGGATAGGACACACTTTGAGTAAAGCACCCAACTGCGTCACAAGACAAGCACTCACATGGAATCCTCAAGGCCAAAGTAGGAGAGGAAGACCAAAGAACACACTACACCGGGAAATGGAGATAGACATGAGAAAAATGAACAAGAATTGGATGGAATTAGAAAGGAAGGCCCAGGAGAGAGCGGGTTGGAGAATGGTGTTCGGCGGCCTATGTTCCATTAGGAGTAACAGGTGTAAGTAGTAAGTAGTAGTATAGTTTATCAGTACACATACAAGTGAGATGAAGCACTACAAGTTCCTTTACTAACTAAACTATTATATCCTTTGTCCAGAAGTATTCATGTAGATGCTTAAATGATAAGAAAAACTGAATAAAATCTAAGAATATAAGTTTAGGGATAAACGGTTTTTGTAATTTTATTTACAAAAAACTGATTGGATAATCTTGCAGAAACTTAGATAAGTTATATGATAGAGATGGGGCAGTTTAAAACAGTTGACAAGGAAGTCCTGGATCTAGAATACATTCTATTTGGTAATTGTTAGCTATGAATATCTAATACTATACGATAATTCCAATGATTGTTATCGAGATTCTAACTTATATAAACCAGTTAACACAATACAAGTTGATCGGTAAAGTTCAATCATTAATACTAAGTTTACTTACGTCTGTTACTCCTCGTGAATAAGCATAGGCCACTCACCAGCATTCTCCATCCAACCCTGCCATGGGCAATCCTTTCCAGCTCTTTCCAGTTGTTATTCATCCTTTTCATATCTGCTTCTATTTCCCGACGTAGTGTGTTATTAGGCCTCCATCTTTTCCGCTTCCCTTCAGGATTACGAGTTTAAACAAACAGAATACATTGATATTGATTAAGTAATGATTTCATGCATATATCATACAATTGTTTCCTTTACTTTATTCAGTTGATGAATTAATACCTTGTTCAGATGAAGATAAAGATTACTGTCTCAATGGTGGTCTATGTTATATGTATAAAAATGAAAGAATATCATTTCAATGCAGGTAAGCGTCGTTTCCTTCATTTTTTTATTGATGTATATTAACTGTAGAATAATTATGATTCTAAAATTGTCATTCTTTTAGCCACAATAGTTTATTCATAGTTTTAACAGTCATATTCAAAGTTTAAAGTTGATATGAGTTTGAGAAAGTAAACTTACTAGTAAGATTAGATAGTCTGTGAAGTAATAGTTGGAGTTATAAGAAATGATGAAAATATCTACCTATATATATGTTTCTTGTTAATGTAAAAAGTTAGGGTAATCTCTAACTGAACTAAGTTTTTATTCATGTTGTAGTATACGCTACTCATGTCGACAGATATAAGTAGTATGTATCATCAACTGAAAGTGAAATACCTAGCGGCAGAAGGTTAAGAAGATCAAAGAGCAGAGAATGATTGGTGTATAAACGAAATAACAATGAAGTCTGAAACGATTGGTAGATATTTTACAACTGAAGTATTTATTGTAGGGTCCTTAGATTTTACTAAGAGATTCTGTAATGTTGTATTCGAATATATTCGATTGTCCCCACTTATGTGTTCTCGTTCACTACAATGTTACTAATAACAATTAACAGTTGTGTATAATCTTTATACGATCATGAAAGATTTTAATTACAGACTATCACCATTCATCGTTTACTAGACACATACTGCATACAGATCAATAAGTTTAAGTTTCAAATAATTTTCAGTATGGGGTTGTGAACTGCTGAGGAGTCCCACAATAGGACGAAACGGCTGTCCAGTGCTTCTGAGTTTTCAATGGTGGTCAAACATCAATCGATTAATGATCTCAATCAAATAATTTTATTGTCTTAAAATTCCACGGTTAACGTATCACATCACTGACCCTACTGATATCCACCTATACACATAAAACCGTTCATAACGCTTTTCTGGGAACAAAACACAGCATAACACAATGCTTTCCACATTAATCATTTTTTCCTTCATTCCATTAATATGGAATATAACAGCTTAAATTGATATACATTCTCACCAGACTGGACAATTAACTAAATAAACTAATTAAATGTGCTCACTAGTGACTAGATTCGTGAGGGAATTCTCGGAGTCCTAGTAAGAAGGCATGACCAGTGGAGCTAATCCGTGTCAGGTAGAGACAGGTATCTGTGCAATTTCGTGGACTGGTTGAGATGAGACATTAACATCGCTGGATACCAGCTTATTAGTGTAGAGGTTGAGCGTTCTCGCGCGAGACTGAATGCCCTGGGTTTGAAACCCTCTCTCGGGATCGTGAGTGTGCATTGATGAGGGGTCCCACAATAGGACGAAATGGCTGTCAAAGTTTTCAATGATGGTCTCACATTAATCGGTTCATGATATCAATCAATAACTTAATAATCTCCACAATCCTTAACTGATAAATAAATGAAAGGTAGCACACTTTGAACAATAAAACAATCAAAACAAAATCTACTCAATCATTTTGTATTCTAACTATTGAATGTTATTTTAAAAACAAAAAAAAATAAAGGTGTCTCGATTATTATTTTGGTGATCGATGTCATTTTCATACCGATGGACTATATGGTAAGTAATAGTGTTTATCCTAACAAATTGTTGTTACCGCTTCTTCTTCTTCTTTTAGCTTTATCTAACACATTCTTAAACACCTATTATAATCGGAATAATAGTAATCCATATTGAATCATAGTTCCTAACTATCTAACTGACTACTATTAACAAAATAATTATTTGGTGAGACTATAATTTATGGATAACCTTTGAGTAACACTAAAATGATCTTGGAAATATTCAACTATTTAATAAACTGATTGCATTAGCGTAACGAACTAGGATTAAAATTTAAAGTTGAATGTTAAATTTAAGAATTAGATTTATGATTTCACAATTGATTGATCACTGGGTGGCGATCATTGTTATGCGTGTCCAGTCCTTATTAGTGCAGATCGAATGCTATCGATCACGTTGCAATGAGTCAGAGATTTTACCACTGAGCTATCTGACTGTGAAGCTGGGTGACACGAGATCGAATCCGCCAGGGAGTATCAGTTCCCTCAATATTACAAGTACACCTTGCTGACGAGTGCCAAGTAGCACGAAACCCGGGTCCAGGGTTTCCTGTCGACTACTTCCAACCACCATCTATTCTCAAGATTTATGGTTTCTCATCACGAACTGACATGCTAAAATGGTATTTCATCAAATGAATAAAATGAATTTGGCGCTAAAATTCAAAACCAATTATCTCAAATCTGATTGGTTCATCTATAAATTCTAATTTCACCAATCATATTTTTTATTGATCATCTAACATTTTCTTTTCCTTTTATACTTAGTGATTAATTGATTTTCTTTTGTTTTCATTTTTCTTATACACTAAAATATGTAAATCTCAATCCATATTTAAAATTCCCTTCCAACCCTCACCCCCTCACATACATATTTATATCGATTAAATTATCATTGTGTTACACTATTTAATTAACCATTGAAACAAACACACACACACATACACATACACAAAAATTGAAATTATCCCTTAACAATGATCATAAAACTTTAGTTGCTATACACCATATTTTGGTTCAAAATGTGAACGTGTGGCAGTTGATTTAAATGAATATAAATGTATGTTTTCAATGTATTTCATTGTTTGAATCGATCAATTTATAAGTTTTTTCTTTCCCCAATCATGATTACCATTTTGTATAAATTTTAATGACATCAATGTTATGTTCATGTTTAACTTTAACTAATCCACGAAATGGTACTATTGTCCAAGATTGTCTTCAGTGAATTACTGTATCATAACAGACACAGTTTGATTTCACTAGTCATGGCTTTCCAATAGAACTTCAAGAAATACTTTTTGAAGTTAGTCCGAAACCGAAAGTTCTGGGTTCGAATCCGGTGGGCGTGATCGTGAATGCACACTGTTGAAGAGTTCCATACTAGGACGAAATAGCCATCTAGTGCTTCAGGGTTTTCCATTGTGGTCTAGCTTTAATTCAACTATTAACAATTACTACAATCTCTACAAAACTCCCTTCCTGATGTAACGGAAATATTCAAAATTATAAAAATTTGTAGTTGAGAACATTTAAGGTGACTTTGTAATGCATATTGTTATATTATTTAACATGAGTCTTTTTTTTGTTTATCAATATGTGTATGATCTATAAAGCTCTGATCGATAGACATGAATACCCTGGGTTCAGTTTTTCATAGAGACGAGGAGTTCCATATTATGACAAAATAGACTTTCAGTGATTCTTCGTCTTAAACATCACTTCACAGTGTAGTTCATATGGATAAATGAAAAGTTGTCACTTTGTTGGATGGTTTCGTGTTACCTTATGCTCGTCAGTATGCTATCTAGAGTGGCTTCGTCTTAATGCCTTAAACTATGAAACTATATGATATTGGTTCGAATTCATCAGGGAACACCAATTTCCTTCAAGATCAAAGGTATGGCCTGCTGACGAGTATTAACTAGTATGAAGCATAAGTCCAAAGTTTTCTGTCAATTACCTCTAATCAACGAATATCTCAAAATAGTTTACTGAATCTTAAGTCCCTTAGACCAGTGATCAGACTGTAATTTGATCGGTAGAATTTGAACAACACTAAAGGATGTGGCAAATATGATGCCAGTAATTACTCAGTCAATTATAGTCATTAGTCTTGTTGAATTTTATATGAAATACAAAGTCATAGGTTTTTATCACACTAGAAATGGACTAATATTGTGACCCTAAACCACATGTATGATTCTTATTCAATGGCTTTAAAGTTGACAAACTGGGGAAGTCCAAGTGTATTATATGTCTGTTCTCACATTCCCATCTAAAAGCCTAATAGTAGATGAAAGATTATAAACGAGAAATGTTATCGGAGAAACCTAATTGTAATTCTACTCAAGGTCTGAGTCTATATGTCCTTGTCTAGGTCAGAAGGAGAAGATCATAGATACCAATGATTTGCATACCCATCTGTTCAATTTGTTAATTACAACAAACTAATTCTTATCCCATCAGCGTGCGCCAACGCAAACGTGCATTGAGCATGATTTAATCTAATCTATGTCCCGCTAACAATATCAATACTTATTTTCAAGAAATGAAGTCTGGTTCTAAATCGGTTCAATGTCCATTAAGTAGAAGTGATTGAATAATTGAAATTTTATTCGTAACAATTTATCCAGTACATAAATTAATCAGAGAAGGGTTTTTGTGGATACTATAGTAATTTAATAGTTGAATTCATGAGTCAATTGAAGCTAGACCTGGATGCACTGGTTAATCGCTCGAGTGTGAGACTGATAGTTCCTGGGTTAGAATATCGTGAGGTGAAGTCATGGACATGCACTGCTGAGGAGTCCTATACTAGGATGAAACGGCTGTCCAATGCATCCAAGTTTTTCATGATGGTCTAGCTTTCATTGACTCATGAATTCAACTATTAAATTACGTAAATGAATGTTTGGAAATTAGTATGTAAACTAAATTAATTTTGTGAACACGATCCAGAAACCAGGGATCACGTTTTTATAATTCCGTCTACTGGTGTATATTTTATTGGTTTGAATATGATTTGTAATAATTTGAATTATTCTGTTGTTGATATTTTGACTGAATTTCAGCTGTATTTCAGTTTTAGAAGTTACTTTATCTCAACGAACAAAATTGTTAGTGTTATTTGGCGCCTTATTTGTGCTTTCAGTAATATTATTAGGGACTACATTAATAATTATTTGGTAGGTGGGATGATATAATCTACTCATATTTGCATGGATTGATCTTTTTCTTTAAACTTATGGCCCTTGAAATGCATCGCTTAGTTGATGTTGTTCGCAATATATTCTGATGTTGTATTTATGTTACTTTGAGTTATTAAGTAGTATATTTTTCTAACATAAATTTCTTAATCTGAATACTATCATTTAACTAAAACACTTATTAATAGCTTCACCCAAATCTCACGCATTATTTGGGATGTTAAATATGTTATATTAAAGTATTTCTCAACTAGATGACAATAACCTTGTCTTTTAAAAACTGGCACCTTCTTTAGGATTTCATTTCAAAAATAGTATCTTCGTTGCAAAAGTTGGTATCACAATCACGACTTGTTTTACATTCAGTGTGAATTTTAATATTAATTTACCCATTATCTATTTGTGAAAAGGTTTGCCCTAATCAAACAGGTTTAGCGATGATACGAAATTATGTGAAGGTCTGCCCTAATCAAACAGGTTTAGCGATGATACGAAATTATGTGAAGGTTTTGGATTGACTTCAGCTACGTGATGAGTTAGTTATCTGAGATTTTACATGTATTGCTGTAGACTAGATCGTCCGAACTACATACATACAGCCTAAACTAGATTAGTTTGTCTTCATTTAGGTTTATAAGTTGTTCACTCCAAATCAAAAAGAGACTATATGTCATTGAGAAGTCTTAACTCACCAATTATTCTTATATATCAACTTGCGTCATATATGGCGTACGAGAAGTGTCCATCTGCTAATCAAAGGAAGATTATACTGCACAACAGTTATCTCTATATTAATTCATAACTCTGAAATATGACTTGCAGGTTTTTAATCATAAATAGCTTAGGAGCACTCCTCATGCATACGGGGACAAATAAGTGGAAAGCACTAACATCAAAGAACGTTACTAAGGGAATGTGGAACGTTTGTCGATGAGATTATGGATCTTCTTCAATCTAGGTAGTTGGAACATGTTTTACAAGGACCAATCCACCACCTACCTGGTCTCTTAATGGTGGTCCAAGGTTGTAACAGTTCATGAAATCATTAATTGCTTGAGTGAGTTATGTTAGTAAGTGCGAAATCGTTCACGATGAAGCAGACGTAATTACTCTTTATCTTCCTATATATATTGAGTTTTAGTATTCTTTCATACACACCTTTCCATCCCTTCTCGTAGCATATCCTCAATGTTTAATATTTATGATTATTATTCCAACCCCTTTTATTTATTCGTCTCGATAGTTTTAACCCGATATTCTGGTTTGTCTTGATAATTGATTAGCGTATTTCAGCCTCAGTTTGTACATTGATTATTACGTATTAATGCAGTATCAATTCACAAAACGTTTTCATCAAATGAAAACGATTGTTTAAGAAGCATTACTCTATTTAAATTATAGTTGAATAAATAATAATGAAATGTATCTTCTACCTATGGTGACTGTAAAATCTCAATGGACATAACCATGAGTTCGTCAGTTAATATCAATATCGCGTTCTGATATGATTACGGTAAAATAATGTTGTTTCTTATCAGAATAGGGTTTAATGGTTGTCCAACTTTAACCGACTCATGATTTCAACTAGTAAAAATTACTACAATCTCCACAAAACCCCATTTTGATCAATATCATCATCTGTTCACTAGGGACTAGCTTCATGAAGTATTTCCTGGAGTTCTAGTGAGAATCGGTGACCAGTGGAGTTCAACCGTGTCTGTTGTAGAGGCAGTTACTCACTGAAGACAATGGTGGACGGCCGCTCGATATCGTGGACTGGTTGAAGCTAGACATTAACACCGTTAGATACCGGCTCAGTGGTCTAGAGGTTAAGATCCTGATTTCTAGTCCCTCTTGCGAAATCATGGATGCTTACTACTGAGAAGTCCCATACTATGATGAAACGGTCATCCACTGCTTTCAGGTTTTCCATGGTGGTCGACCTTGAATCGACTCATGAATTCAACTAATAAAAAAATACTACTTGTCAGTGTGTTAATCTGAGATGGTGGAGAAGATTTATAGCACAAGTGAATGATTTCAATCGAGTTTCATTCTCTGAGCTAGATGGTTTGGTCGTGGAGCTTTCATCATTTTTCTGAAAGATATCATCAACACAAACTTCAGGTAGAAGTGAAGTGTTCGAATTTCTCCCTATATTGCTCACAGCTCGTTCTTTAGACCTTGATCTTGACTGGTTGTCGTTGACACTTCATTTCTACTTGAAGTTTGTACTGATTGTGTTGTCCGGAAAATCGATGAAAGCTCCACGACCGAACCATCCAGCTCAGTGAACAAAACTCCATCAAAATGTGCTGACTTTTTAAATTATTGTTTCTACGATCGAACTATCATGTAACTTACGTTAATTTGTACAAAAAACGCAGTGGTTTATATCACTTTATAATACAATACAATATTATTTGCTGAGCAAATTCATGTAATATAGTAGCAATCCCTGTATAGCATAAGATGTATTCAACAAATCATTTCATACATCCATTCTTAACAATCTATTATAAATATTACATCATTTAGTCTAGTATGCTATAGTGATATCATTTATAATCTGAAATAGTTTACTTTGTTGTTACATAACACTTTCACTATCATTTTATCATCTTCATAAAAATAATTCATTTTCAATGTGTACTTAGTTGATATGTGTACATTGTTTCAATGTGAATGAGTATGTGTTTTGATGTGTTGTGGTTGTTGGTTTGGTAACATTGATTGTACAAAGTGGAGAAGATTTGTAGCTTAGGTGGTTGGTTTTGATGGAGTTTTGTTCTTTGAGCTGGATGGTTTGGTCATGGAGCTTTCATTGTTCTTCTGAAGGACATCATCAGTACATCGTTTAGAAGAACGATCAAAGCTCCATGATCAAACCATTCAACTCAAAGAATAAAAATCCATCGAAATTATACAAAGTATACATATGATCTGTTGAATAAGTATACGAACTGAGTCATTCATGTTTTTCTGTTGAGATTACAGAACTATATTCATGTAATATTAGAAGAAAGTTTATAGCTCTTTCCAAGCAGTTTAACCATTTCATTAAGTGGCATGAACACTGCAAAATTAAGTTACTATTTTATTCAATTCATATATTTAATTCACTTGGTATTGTTTTACTTGAATCTTCCCATTGATGTTTTAGAACTGAAATTGATCAGTCTCTTATTGGCATATGTGCATACTGTGCGTATGTCTCAGTATTGCCTTAATTTACAAGCATTATAAGCAAAGATGGATAGTGGCTAGCAATGGAACCCAGGACGCGCGTTTCGTCCTGGATTCCGCTGCTAGCTACTATCCATCTTTGCTTATATTTCATATATTCATTTGAATAGATTAGTGTATATCAATGTTGTCTATTTATAAATACATGTAAAACTTATATTGCTGTTTCTATCATTTCCCCCCTCCCCCTCCCCCCTCCCCCTTCTTTATATTTGGAATTAGCTTTTTCTGAATCTCGTGGAAATGATCTACAATCTATGTTGCATGCATTAACTACAACACTTACATTACGTGGTGTATTTTTCACATTATTTGGTGCATTAATGAGTGTTTTAACATTTTATGGAATATGGAAATGTCAGCAAAAAAGCATGCAGTATGTTGTTTATATTTTATTGTTATAATGTAAACTATTTGTGTAACTTCAAATGATATACATTTTCTGATCTTTTTAATTGTAATGGTTAATTTAGAACTAATGATGTTATTCAAAGATGGATAGTGGTTAACAGTGGAATCCAGGATACGAGTTTCGTCCTATTTGGGACTCGTCAGCTGGATTTAGCTGTATTTCATAGTTGATATCTTGGATTCTACTGTTAGCCACTATCCATCTCTGTTTTAGAAGTTTGTGACTTAAGACTATATCGAGGCAATCCTCACAGGATGCATATATGCCAACATGTGACTGATATATTACAGTCCTAATTAACAATGGGAAGATACAAATAAAACAACACCAGGTAATCTTTATTCTGTGAAGTGATTCTCCCTTGAGTATATTTCTATTATTTGAAAGTGGTGTTATGTAAGAGCTGAAGTCAATGTGGAGAAAGAATAGTTCTGAATCAAGATGTACGATCTTATAGAGTCAAGCGGATGGCTTTGGTGTAAATACATCATATATATATGATATAATGAAAATTAGTATTCTTAATCTAATTTTTAATAGTGCAACTCATTGATCAAGTATCTCTATGTTAAATATGATTGCCACTGATGTAATAAAAGATTCTTGTATAAATCGTTTAAGTGATATCAGCCTTTCTAAATTCTCAATTACACCTTATAGGTGTACATTAGTAGGCCCGAAATACTTATCATTATACTTCCTTGTTTGTGTCATTAACCATTCAACACTTATGTCCCGCGTGAGGAATCATGGATGCTCTGCACTGCTAAAGAGTCCCACAGTAGGACGAAACGGCGGTCCAGTGCTTCCAGGTTTTCTATGGTGGTCTAGCTTCAACTGACTCATGATCTCAACTACTGAAATCATACTATTTTGTTCATTACTGTAGAGTAATTCAGTTGCTTTGACGATAATAATGATGATTGTTTTTAAATAGTGTATTCAATGTAAAATATTACAATTGATTGGTGATTAAATAGTGACCAATATTATGTTTGTCTAGCCCTTTACATGCTAATGAAATTTTATCATTAAGGTTTCATTGTAGTAATTGGTCTAATTGACTTGATATCATATCCATTGCATTGATATATTAGATGACTAGAGGTAGCCAACAGAAAGCCCTGGGAATATGTTTCGTACAATTTAACAATTATCCGTTCTAAAAGATTGGATAGATATGATTTTAATGATTATTCAATGATCACTTAGTTGTAACTATCTCACTTCTACAAGGAGTCAGCTACAGACTGATTAACTCAGTGATAACATTTCAGATTATGTCTCTGGATGATATGTGTTTGATTCTTGCAGAGAGCATTCAGTTCTCTAACGATTACTGATAGTCCACTCTGAGAAATGTCAACTAGCATAAAACTTGGATCCACAGTTTTCTTTTGTCTATATTCAACTATCTAGCAATTCAGTATGAAATATACTTACTTACTTACATACTCCTGTTACTCCTCGTGAAGGAGCATAGGCCGCTCACTAGCATTCTCCATCCAACCCTGTCCTGGGCAATCCTTTCCAGCTCCTTCCAGTTCTTATTCATCCATTTCATATCTGCTTCTATTTCTCGACGTAACGTGTCCTTTGGCCTTCCTTTTCCCCGTTTCCCTTCAGGATTCCAAGTTAAATATGAAATTTATGTTAACTATATTTCAATATTTATTATACAATGCGTATATATATATTTATATGTCTCATATTATCCTTTTATTTCTAGTCGAAGGCACTTAAGAAGACGAAACAAATCTTTATTTAAGCATGATTCACAAACGGTAAGAACTAGTATTCTATAAAAAAGTTAACCGGTATCCATCGATTAATGAATATCCAATAAAATATTTCTTCTTCTTCTTAAGTAGTAAACATTAACGAATGCTTACATGATTGAACCTAGAAGCTTCACATGTTTAAATGAGATAGATATACATTAAGTATTTAACTGAAGTTGTAAACTATCAACCGCGGACCATTGGATCGTATGATTCTTACTTACTTGCTTACGCATGTTACCCCTCATGGAGGAGCACGGATCACCCACCAGCACTCTCCATTGAACACTGTCTTAGACAATCCTTCCCAGTTCTTTCCAGTTGCTATTCATCCTTTTAATACCTGCTCCTATTTCCCGACGTAGTGTATTATTCGGCCTACATATTTTCTGCTTCCCTTCATGATTCTAAGTTAGGACTTGCCTCGTCAAGTAGTTTGATAATTTTCGTAATATATGTCCTATCCACTTCCAACGTCTTTCCCTAAGTTCCTATTCAGCTGGAACTTGGTTTGCTCTCTCTCTCTCACTGTAGGCCGTTGCTGATGGTATCCGTCCAACGGACATTGAGTATCTTGTGTGGACAATTGTTTAGAAATACTTGTACCTTCTTGATGATGGTTGTGGTAGTTCTTTAAGTTTCAGCTCCGTACAGTGGAACTAGCTGTCTTGACATTCGTATTGAGAATTGTGACTTGGATATTGGTTGACAGCTGTTTTGAATTCCATTGTAGGAATGCCACCCTTGTTTTATCGATCCTTACTTTCACCTTGTTCATCAATGGTGCTTGCCAGTTACGTGAACGTTTCCACATCTTCCAGAGTTTCTCCATTAAATGTGATTGGATTGGTGTTCTCTGTGTTGTATTTAAGGATCTTACTTTTTCACGTATGATCATATGATTCACTTTCATGAAAAAATTCAGATCTTTATTTATTTCTTATATAGAATCTTTGATTCATAGTCTTGAAATGAGTTAAAAATGAACGAATTATCTTTTTACTTCTGTCAATCATCTCATTTAAACAAATAATAAAAGGTTTTTATCTCACATATCTTTAATCTATGTGTTATATCTAGAGCTTAGATTCTTAATATGCCGCATAGAACTTGAGCACCCAAACGCTAGAACCCTTCTAATTCACAAATAAGAAAACAAAAGACAAGTGAAAGGAATGTTATTCCAAACAGTGTCAATTATGGTACAGACTGTCAGGTATTTATAGTTTTTTTAGTAAAAACGAAATCATCATTATAGTTATCCAATCCGAACATAGGGGTGGGATCATTAGCATTATCCAATAGGAAAGCTACTCAGGCACCGTCCCCATACTATAAACTCTAATATCACAATTGATTGATCACTGGGTGGTGATCAATGTCATGCTTGTCTAGTCCTTATTAGTGCAGATCGAATGCTATCGATCATGTTGCAATGTGGCCACCAGTCTAGGTGACTCAACACTGCGGGAACTATGTATTGAGATTAGATGGTGGTTGCAGGTAGTCGACAGGAAACCCTGGACCCGGGTTTCGTGCTACTTGGCACTCGTCAGCAAGGTGTACCTGTAATCTTGAGGGAACTGATGCTCCCTGGCGGATTCGATCTCGTGTCACCCAGCTTCACAGTCGGAGACGTTACCACTGAGCTTTTGTGATTACATCTCAGTCCTACAGGAGGTTAGTCACGGCTCGGATAGCTCAGTGGTAACGTCTCTGACTGTGAAGCTGGGTGACACGAGATCGAATCCGCTAGAGAGCACCAGTTCCCTCAAGATTACAGGTACATCTTGCTGACGAGTGCCAAGTAGCACGAAACCCGGGTCCAGGGTTTTCTGTTGACTACCTCCAACCACCATATAAACTTTAATATGTTATATTCACTACCTTAATCAATGTTAATAACTTATCATACTTTTTATATTTCTAAATGAATTCTATAGAAAACTTCTCATTCTGTCAATCATTCAAATCATGAAAATAGAATATATAATACAGTAAAAGAGAATACAGCGCCAATTTCAATTAATGATTATTATAAAAGAGATCAAAATATTGAACATATTCCTATTCCAGAAAATTATTATGGACAAACTGGTAATAGTTATATATTGCCAACTTCACATTTAGCTAATAATGGTTGTTATGAGAATCGTTCACCAAATTTTACTCATGATGTAATGATTGATTTAAAATCTTCATTAGCAACAAATCATGGTAAGTTGATCATATTGACATCTATGATGTATATGTATTACATCATTTATACCAATGAGCACTAATCAGAAACCCATACATAGAACGAAACAGTCATCCAGTGCTTTTTAAGTTTTCCATAGTGATCTAGCTCCCATGGACTCATGATTTCAACTATTGAAAAAACTAAGTTGTTTGTTTGTTAAACAGTTTTTTTTATGGCATATGCAATAGTGTTGATGTTATTTAAATGGTGTAAATCATGAAACATTGTACAACTGTTTCATTCTAGTACGTGTCTCTTCAACTGTATACATCCCTTGTCCAATCGAGAATCAAACTGAGAATTTATAGATCTCTTGTAGACTCTTAACCTTTATATTATTGAAATATCTTACAATGATTTACAGTTTTAAATTCATTCAATTCAAGATATTAAACAACTATCTTCCAATACCATTGGTGAGTAACTAGCTCAAATCGGTAAAAGCAAGATCTTCAAATACAACACAGAGAACACTAACGCAATCACACTTGATGGCGAAACTCTGGAAGATGTGGAATCTTTCACATACCTGCGAAGGATCATCAATGATCAAGAAGGATCGGATGCAGATGTAAAGGTGAGGATTGGCAAAGTATGGGCCGCATCACTACAAGAACATATGAAACCCAAAACAACTGTCTGTTAACCAATATCAAATGAAAATCTCCAGTGCGAACGTCAAGACAGTTAGTTCTACTGTACGTAGCTGAAACTTGGAGAACTACCACAACCATCATCAAGAGGGTACAAGTATTTATAAATAGCTGTCTACGCAAGATACTCGACATCGATTGGTCGGATACCATCAGCAACACCATTCTGTGGGAGAGGACAAAACCACTTTCAGCAGAAAAGGAAATTAAGAAAAGACGGTGGAAGTGGATAGGACATACAATGAAGAAATCACCAAACTGCATCATGAGGCAAGCCCTAACTTGGAAGGCTAAAGGGAAGCGGAAAAGAGGAAGGCCAAAGAACACATTATGTCGGGAAAGAGAAACAGATATGAAAAGGATGAATAGCAACTGGAAAGAACTGGAAAGGATTGCCCAGGACAGGGTTGGATGGAAAGTGCTGGTGTGTGACCTGTGCTCCTCGGTGAGGGGTAACAGGCGTTAGTAAGTAAGCAAGTAAGAGATTGAAAATAAATTCAATCAATATTGTGGACATATTATCATATGAGCCCAAGTTTAAGATTTTGATTTCTTAAAACAGTTCAACACCATGATAAATCATTCAAATAAGAAACAACAAAGATCACGTCATAATAATGTTAACCACTTAATGAATATTTAAATGGATCAGTAAGTGAGGAAATAACGCAGCAAAATTTTTCATAAATACCCTAATAATCTACAATAACAACAATGAATTGCTGGTTTCATTCTTTCCTTAGGTTACTTTTCTAGTACATCAATGACCGTAACTGGTTATTAAACTGGTAACTACATCTTGGATTAGTAAAAAAAAAGAACGTAACCACACATTTCAAGGAATACTGACTTATCAGAATGGGGTTTTGTGGAGATTTTAGTAATAGCTGGCATTGATGCCAGCTCAGTGGTTTAGAGGTTAAGCGTTCGCGCGCGAGACTGATAGGTCCTGGATTCGAATATCGCGGAGCAGGATCGTGGATGCGCACTGATGTGGAGTCCCATACTAGGATGAAACAGCCATCCAATGCTTCCAGGTTTTCCATGATGATCTAGCTTCAATTGACTCATAAATTCAACTATAAGAATACTGACTTATTTAAACGTAATATGATGTATTCGTTTTATGATTTGTCAGCTTACCAATGAATTTACTAACAAAGACTATCTTCCATATTCTCTGTTTCATTTTCAATTTTAAAGCTACATAGATATTTAAATTATTATCTTCCTACTTATCTTGCTTTGAGTAAACCAACCATACACAAATACAAACTCATAAAACATATGATTCAACATCCCCTTATATTTGATTACTGAATTACATTAAATTGATAAGTTCATTTCAATATTTCAACAGTAATATTTCTGAATATCTTGAATATTTCCACTTAAGTCTTACAAGTATTTCTTTTTATTCCAGTGAATCCACAACAATTACATGATCATTCAAGAAACGCAATCCAGTTCGGTTATCGACCATCATCCTCTTTAGATCAATGTAATGAATCAGCCCATAAACCTGAGAATGGATTAACTTTACACAATAGACCTTTCGGGACAGATTGGTCAACACGAAGGATTATATCACAAAAACCTGGATCTATACGAGATCGACTACCAGTGCTAGCAGAAGGATCAAATTTAGATTTGAATATTGATAGATATCCGAATTACACAGATCCTATAGACAGAATGAATAGATTTGATCAAGACAGAGATATATCATTAAACATGATTTCATCTTCTTCTTCATTTATACAAACTAATACTTGAATATACGATTAAGAATAATGTTAAAAAGCATTCATTCATTTCAGGTTAGAAGAAGTAAGAAAGTAAAGTATATGGTACTATCTATTATCATATAACAGATCTTATAACTACTACTACTACCATTGCATATTCTACCTTTAGAGTTACTAATTAATTATTCTGATGTAATATACCATAAAGTATTTCAATTCTGCATTGTTTCTTTCGTAGTTTTGTAATAATAATAATACTACTCGTGTCCTCAGTTGTCTATTTTCATGAATGAAAACTGACGCAAACGCATTTGTTTTATAGTTTTATCTATTATTTACAAGAAATTTCTTGTGTCACCTTTATTCTCACTTGAAAGTAATTGAACATTGAAGTGACTTATATTTTATGCTTTGATTCACAATTGTCTAATCATTGTTTATCAATCGTTTATACCTCATCATTATGTGTATATGTCAAAAGAAATGTATCATCTGTTTGTATATTCTACTATAGACGGGTGTGTGAGTGAGTGAGTGAGTGAGTGAGTGAGTGAGTGAGTGAGTGAGTGAGTGAGTGAGTGAGTGAGTGAGTGAGTGAGTGAGTGAGTGAGTGAGTGAGTGAGTGAGTGAGTGAGTGAGTGAGTGAGTGAGTGAGTGAGTGAGTGAGTGAGTGAGTGAGTGAGTGAGTGAGTGGGAAACAGTGGCCTACTGTCTGTTTGATTATTCAATACATAATTTAATACTTGAAATAAAGTGAAACGTTTGCCGGTAAACAATTTTCTCTATTGTAATTGTTATTATTGTTGTTGTTAATGATCATGGATATCAGTAGAAAACAAATAAAGTCATTTCAAAAGTTTATTTTAATTTCTGATTATCAATGTTGTAATCATAGTTACAAAGTATTCAGTAGACAGAAGTGAACAGGGAATAGTTTGCGACATAGTACACTTAATGTTGAGTCCCCTAGACTAGTGGCCACATTACAACTTGGTCGATAGGATTTGATCTTCACTAATAAGGACCTGACACACATGACATTGGTCACCACCCAGTGATCAATCAACTGTGATTACATCTCGGTCTTACAGGAGGCCAGTCACAACCCGAATAACTCAGTGGTAACGTCTTTGACTGTGAATCTAGGTGACATGGGACCGAATCCATCAGAGAGAATCAGTTCCGTCAAGATTACGGGTACGCCTTGCTGATAAGTGTCAGATAGCACGAAGCCTAGTTCCAGGGTTTCCTGTCAACTACCTCCGACAACCATCTCACAGTGAATAATATCAACTATCGCTTAATAATGAAAAGTCATATCGGTGTGAAAAATTATGTAAATTTATTAGTGAAACAAAAGAATTTCATTTTGTACTTTAAGCAACTATTTTTACTGAGATGAATGCAGCCCAATTTATGATTTTGTGTTTCTCTCTACTGCTTTTTTCCAAGTCTTGTGATGTCATTTCAATGCTTCACTGTATGCTGTCTTGTGTTGTCGTTTCAATGTTCTACTGTATGCTGAAATGGTTGTCATTTTTTGACAGTTCCTAGAAATAATCACAATTTCCTAATGACTATTTTGAATAGGTAATCTGAATGATTTTCACAAAGGAACAGTCATTCTTTACCAGACTACCCAATACATTAATAAATTGTATATGCTGTTCATCATGACCGGATATCAGTTGGGCTACAATTGAAACTTAATGTTTAGGCACTAACCACTAGACCTGAGGGTTTCGTCTTTGGTCCCACGGGGGAATCGTGCGTGAAGTTACATACCAGTACTGACTGGGTGACTGGCGCTTTATAGTTTGTGATGATACTCCAACTGAAACCAGTTTTTGACGAGTACCACCAACAGATTAAAATAATTTTCATAAAATAACTTCATCTTGACAAAGGTAATTTATCAATCAGTCATGAAAAACACAGAATTTTATTAAATTTTAAATCAACACATGTCGTGACAGTTCAAAACAGCACAGTGCCAAGAAAATAATGAAAGCCAGAATATCGTTGTTGAAAACCTGGGGGCAACGGATGACCGTTCCAACCTAGTATGAATTTCCTCGGTAGTGCGCACCTACGGTCCTATGAGACGGACTAGTTCATATACGCTTAACCTCTGGACTACTGAACCGGCATCCAACGTTGTTAATATCTCACTTCAACCAACCCACGATATTGCGCGACCGTCTTCTACTGTCTTCGGTGTGCAACTGACTCACACTCAACACGGTTGAAGTCTACTAATCACGGCTTTTCACTAGAACTCCAAGAATTACCTCTCGAAGCTAGTCACAGGTGAGCACATGATGACTATTATTGTGGAGCTGTGGAGAATGTTAAGTTTCATTGAAATAACTAAACTTACTATGATGGAACTAAATATAATAACACCATTTCAACTGATTTACAATCATATTGCTCAAAGTCTAGTGACAGATTAAGGTTTGTACTGGTCGTTTGAATCCTCCATTGATTTTTAGGACTGCAATTGATCAGTCTATTTTTTAACATATGTAATCCTGTGTGGAGTGCCCTGATATTGCCATTAAGCAGAGATGGATGGTGATTAGCAGTGAATGAAGGATAAAACTCACATCTTGAATTCCACTGCTAATCTCCATCGATCTCTTATTATATATATTAAAATCACTATTTGGGTCTAATCATTCAAGTCCAAACCTCTCTACACTATTCAGACCAGGAGTCAGTGATGGATTTACGTTATATTTAACTTTGAAACTCTGTTTATTTCTTCCAACATATACTTATCAGCATATTATACCGAAGTGTGAGGTAGAAAGTCATGGGTTACGGATATCCCTACTATATTAGTCAATAAGGGTTCATAACCCCATCAACTTGACTCTTATACCCATTTATTTATAAATAATCATAAATTTACTCACTTGGTAATTACGTCAAAAACGTCTACAATCAAAATACCAACAACTCGTCCTTATCTTCAACCTTCATAAGCAAAACTGAGTAAATATACAAATAAACAGAATCTGTATCAACCAAAAGCACGTTAGAATTGGAGAATGAAATAATCCATGGGAATAAAGTTATATATTTCACAAAAATAACCCAGTTTTTTGTACATTCAACTAGTAGGTCAAGAATTAAGATCATCTGATGTCTGGTCGGTTTTTATTTACATTTTCAGCATTAAAATTGGAAAGTTTGTTTATATTTGGCACAAATCACAATATGAATTGTTACATCTGAGCGAAGGATTAATGAATGGGTAACTGCTAGGAATTGTTTATGCACTACTACTACATACATTCTTATTGGATAATTACAGAGTAACTAGAATGTGCATATATTTGTATTGCTTTTATCATAAGCTTTCATATGACTTACTGGTTACTGTTATACGATTTATCGTAAATTTATTTATTAGTTAAAGTATCCCAAACATACAGACACTTTTGACTTGGGCTTGTATAATTTTTACTTTTTACCTTATGGAATAGTGTGGTTTGGTCTGCTGATACATAAACCATGTATGTTCAAAATATACGATTCATGTAGTGGAGGCTGACATTTGTGTTCTTGATTGAACGGTCCGCACTACGTAAGAAGTCGCTATACAGATAACCAATAAGAATCTACGGTTGACACAAGACTGCAAGTGCTGGTCAACACATCGTTGGTTTAGCACAAGGACAAGGTTATAGAAATCGGTATTCTGACTGTCCATTTTTCCACATGATATTCTAAAAGTAATAGGAAATAACATTTATGATAGCAAATACTTTATGACTGATAACTCAACAACCTTAAGCGAAATTATATATATATAGTATTATTACAAATTGGTACATTCAGTAATTCAATAACATCAATTCACCCAGCTTCGAACTCCACTAGTCGACAACACAATTTATCTGTAACCTCTGATAAAATATTTGCACAATGATAATGTGTAGTGTTGTGTATTAAAATGGCCGAGATTAAGAAGACAGAGGTGATATGTAACACTGGACATCTGTTGGTTATATAGGAAAAAACATAACAAATTTATTTTCTTGGGTTGAAATAGGACCTGTCTGATTAAGCTTTAATGACAGTTAAGACATTATATGATCTCTTTCCCTATCCGATCATCGGTTAATTGCAGTATGATGCGTAATCATCTATTTACTGACTGACGCAACCACCAATATCTAACAATCCAAGTTGTTCAGTGCGATACACGAGTCCTAAATGAGCTTCATTTTGATTACAATTCGTGTGATTTCATATCAAATGTTCTTTATATTTATCATGAAGTCACTTCTAATCAATCCTCTAATTACTGTGAGAGATGTTTTAAATGAGGCCACATCATTTAGAACTTGGAGATGTAAAGATCCAAAATTATTTCGTGGGGAGGATAGCGTTGTAAATTCTATGGTTCAAATTCTAAATATCAGTGATTTTGTTACACAACAGACATGGTGACTGCACACAATTCCAGGACCCAGGTGAGTCCCGATTTCATTTGCTAATTCTAAAACTAATGAGTACATTCTGGATCGTACAGAGTCTACATCAGATACACAGTCAGACAGACACAGAATGAATTTAAGGAGATGTACAGTCGATTACAGAGACTTAGATTCCATTTTAAGCTGTGGTGGATGTAGTGTTTGTGTGAACTAATGATTCCTTTGTACTTGATGACTGCCTGATTTCGAATTCTAAATGCAATGCGTTTGTTCGTGCTCACTTAGTTCTCCTTGGTTAAACTGCGTTATTTCTGGGATTCATGATTCTCACTATAATTTGAATATCCCTGATTATCAAACTGTAGCGATAAATAAATCCCCAAAATAAGTACCAGTTAAAACGTTTTCAAACTCCGAATACCTGTGGCATTTTCAACACGTTTTCTGTAGAAAAGTTTATGCAGACTACACCCAAGACGTAAGCAACAATTTGAAGCCATTACTCGCGAGCACATATAATGACATTCCGTATTGTGGAGTACATAACCAAATCACCTTCACGTGGTTACAAGGTGTT